TTTACCGAGCTCCACGTGGCCGGGTACGATTCTACCGAGCCTTATGATGGTCGGGTACGCTTTTACCGAGTCCTCTTTGAGGCCAGGTACGATATGATGATGATGATGATGATGCCTACAGAGTCGTATGTTTTTAAAAGTTTATCTATATATATGTATTATGCATTTCATGTCAGTAACCCCAGAGGCACGCAAATGTTATAGGTTGTATCTCCTCTATCTCTCTTTAGATTACTGTTCTTGTTTATGCTTTCCTGCCTTACATACTCGGTACTATATTTGTACCGACGTCCTTTTTTCCTGGGGACGCTGCGTTTCATGCCCGCAGGTCCCAATTGATAGGTTGACATTTCTCCTAGTAGGCTATCAGCTCAGCGGAGGTGTTGGTGCACTCTACTTGTTCCGGAGTTGCCTATTTTGTCAGTATACTTTGGATATGTATTGATTGATATGGCAGGACCCTGTCCCAACCTTTATGATTTTATGTACTCTTAGAGGCTTGTAGATAGATGTTAGGTTTATGGATACTTGTATGGCCTGTGTGTTGAGTTTACACATGGTCATGTCAGCCTTATAGGCCCGTATGTCACATGTATAAGTTTGTATATCATGTTGGGTCGTCATATGTTGAGTATTCCCTTATGTTTTATTCTTGTTGGATCATGTTGGGTCGTCATATGTTGTTATCTCATGACGGGTTTCTAGCTCATTTACTCAAGATAGTATAATAAGAAAGATATGTTATGTTAGTACTCGGTTGAGTAAGGCACCGAGTGCCCGTCGCGGCCCTTCGATTTGGATCGTGACAGTAAATATATTACTATTTAATTTAGTGAGAAAAATTTAGCCCAATTAACTCACTCAATCTTACGTCTACCAAATGTTAAAAATTATTAAAATTTGAAATCTTTTATTAATAATTATATAAATATAAATTATGGACTATATATTATATACTAATATAGTAGTGCTTATTTTTGGGGCCTTAAATATTTGGGGCTAAGACAAGGGCTTCACTTGCTTACCCTAGAGCCTCCCTTGACTCCTACTAAAGGCTACATACAGAGATGCACCGCTACCAGTATATAGGAATTGTGTCCAAGATCACATCCTTACTGTGCAAATTAGACTGTCATGTCCTTCCATTTCGAGTGACAGTACCAAAAAGAAAATACATAAAAAGCCAACTTCTATCATGCTCAAGTATATTAGCAAAATGGCATGAGAAGAGACACTTCATCTTTCAGTGAAGTGGGGATCCCGTTGGAGTTGACAGCTCCATGTCAATGCACATTTCCTTAGCTCGCAATGTTTCACTTGCATCCTTACTTTCGTAGCCAAGCACTTCTTGTCTATTGCTCAAGCCATATTCCTGCTCAGGAATGCCAAAAGGTTGATTTTGATTATATTCAGCACCAATAGATATCTCAGGGATATCATCCAGCAAGCTATTGATGTCACCACAGCTGGTCACAATGTCGGAAAAGTCACCATAGCAATCATGCGTTTCTTGCATCAGGTAATTTGTGATTCCTGTGTTTACTTTGTTTTCTTCTGCTTCCCTCTTTTGGCTATCTTTCCTGATATGCCCATGCTCAATAGCTATTACTTTGTGCTTAGCAGTCCAATCTGGGCGACTCCACAGATACAATGGAGGGGAGTTGATGTTCCATTGCTCCATCTGCTGGTTATGCACATTAATTGATCCTGGCAGGTAAAAGGACTGGCATAAAAAAAAACTAGTATCACTCGCATTCGTAAGAGAAATGAGCGATATAAAAATCTTAGGATTTCAATTGTTTGCACCTTGCCAGCCAAGATAATGTCATCTTCCCAAATTATATCATATGGATTCTTTCTTCTTTCATCAAGTCTGGAACGGCAGATAATTGATATATCAGGTGGTAAGCAGATAATCACTGAACTTGCAGTTTTCATAATTTAAATCTTCACCTTTTTGTTTCTTTCGGAACAGTAATAATAAGAAGCTTTGGTCTGAATGTAAGAGCCTTGCTTATAAATTCATTTGCCGAGGCAAAAGGGGGATTCAGCCCCATGATCTATTCAAGATGCAAGGTAAGATTAGTAATGCTTCAAAACAATGTTTAAGTCACACCAAGTTATGCAAAACCGATGGTTTCCAACATACCAAATTGGATCCTTCTGGCAAGTCTCTTAAACCAACAGTCATCCAATCCCTCTTCTCAAAGTTGAAATTATTCTGGAGAGTTGAGAAATCCCAAGAAGTCGTTCATTAACTTACAAAGCATAATCAGAGAAGGCACTAAGTTAATGAAATACAAAGCAAATGATCTAACAAGGGCAATGTGGACTTGAAGAAATTCTAGCAAAAGTTGGATGAAGGTTTCATATTTGTAGTTTGTTTAGGAAGTACAAAGGAGGAGACTAACATAGATTACAAATGCGTTAACTTTTATCCTTTCCCTTTCCACTATCGTTCAATCTATCATACAATATCCAAGTCGATCAACCTGCTGTTTTGTAATTTATAGGATGATGTTCTTAATACAATATTAGTTCAATCAACGGTTGCAAAATCAGCATAAATAAAATAAAAGAAAAATAAAGAGTCCATATCTGTATCAATCTCCGGAAACCAATCAGATGCGTGCTATTGTGAAGCATCAAAACACACAGATTTAGTTAAACAACAGTTTAAAAGACATAAACTTAAGACTGGATTATGTATTACTCCGTGAGTTGAGATAAATTTAAGATCTAACGACTTTAAAATCAAAAGATCATAGTGATTCCATGAAAGGAAGATGTGCTATCATACTCTCATACCTATAGGAAACTACAAACTCACCGACGTCTGAAATGTCGTGAATCGCTCATACTAAATAATGTTGTAGTGATGTGCTTTTGAGTAGGCTCGACAAACTAAATACTGCCTATAGCTCAGAGACTCGATTGAGCTTTGATCACGACTAATTATAGTCCTTTTCACGAGTCACAAACTATTTAACCAAGTCGAGTTGACTAGGTTGGACTTGGTAACTTAATGGAGCATCTTAGTGAGCATTGTAAGTGGCTACTGATGATGTCCATCTCATTGAAGAAGTATTAGGCATGTGCCTAATAAGAGTTTTCTTTGG